ATGCTTGTTTATAAAAGAACAAGTTCTTCCTGGTCTTTGACCACTGTCCTGTATTGAATGTATACTATGTGTATATATTCCATGGCCTGTTCTCTTGGTAAAAGGTACTGCTCTGACTGGAAAGAAATATGTAAGATTTATGTCAATAAGGAAATCTCCACAAAAATTTGAATATGTACCATATTATACTCACTTATTTGTATTATTTAATGAAACATTAGATTTCACAATCAGATTTAGTTCCTCAATGTACACATGTTAAACCTGCCTCCTGAAGGTTTATTACCTCCATGTGATGGTGGTCTGTCCATCTGGTCCTGAGTTACTGAGTTCGTAACTCACAGAATACAATGTATGTTATGGAAGGAAGACACCCCAGAGGTTACCCAGTGTGATCCAGCTCCTCCCCTATGAGGTGCTATCCCTTCACTGCTCCACTTAGTAAACACCTACCGAGTGCTTACTGTGGCTCAGGCCCCTTGTGAGGGACACAGGACACATGTGGCCCTGTTGCACAGAGCTCACAGTTGGGATAGGGAAAGACAAACAGCAAACCGGTACAAATAACTGAATTTTATGATACATGCAATGAAGGACCTGATAGGGGACTGTGGCAGAGTGACAGGAGGGAACCCGATTTAGAAGACTGCTCTGAGGAATAACATTTATCCTGAGACCACAGGGCAGCACAGAGCATTCTGGGAAGAAGGCAGTGGGAAGCTGGGATCGGGGAAGATGTGGAGGAAGGGCACAGTGATGAGGGAGCAAGTGAGGGGGACAGTGTGGGGTGAGGCTGGAGGGGTAGGGCCTCCTCACACAGGGCCTTGCATGTCAAGCTTGGATATTTAAAATTTTTATTTGTTTTGAGACAGAGTCTCACTCCTTGTTAGGATGGAGTGTACTGGCTCGATCTCAGCTCACTGCAACCTCTGCCTCTCGGGTTCAAGTGATTCTCCTGCCTCAGCCTCCTGAGTAGCTGGGATTACAGGCATGCACCACCACGCCCAGCTAATTTTTGTATTTTTAGTAGAGAAGGGTTTCACCATGTTGGGCAGGATGGTCTTGATCTCTTGACCTTGTGATCTGCTTGCCTCCGCATCCCAAAGTGCTGGGATTACAGATGTGAGCCACTGTGCCTGGCCAGATATTTAGATTTAATTCAAAATGACAAACTACCATCGCATGGATGTTAATCAGCCTCACTCAGTTTGAAGAGATGAACATTATATCTATTTCTTAAGTTCAGTTTTTAAGCAAATTCTGATTAATTTACAATCTTCTAAGAGACTAAACAGTTAACTGAATGAAGGAGGAACTTTTAAATGTTGACAGTATTATCTTTGGCGAGCAGAATAATGGATTTTTATATCTTTTGGTATTTTTAATATTTTGCTGGCTCTTGATTTTAATAAACAGCATTTACTAGTTTAAAAATTAAAAAAAAAACACATTCTCACATTAAAAAATTAGAAGCCAAATTTCATTTGCCAATGATATAAATATATTTGTGTATTATATATATTCTATAACTGTTCAGTGAAATTTAAAATAATGTGGCCTAGAATAAATTACCAGTGAATAAAAACTCTGTTTTCTTTTTTATTCCTTCTATAAGGAATAATTTTCTATGGAGAATTTACTAAAATCGCCATCGTTGAAATGTATTTGTTTAGCCCCTGTGTGTAGCATGCTGCTCCAAAGGCTAACAAATACTCCTGAGCTCAAATGCTGGGCCTTGGTTCTGTGTTTCTCTATCTAATTGTAGCTTGTTTCTGAACTCTCCCTTATTCTAGAAGTAATTGTGACTATGGTCCTAGACTGAAGTAGCCCCCTTGGGAAGCAGAGAGGTGGAATGCAGTAGAGCTTCTTTCAGTTCCTCTTACTTCCCTGCTCAAGCCACTAGTTAGGTATGTTTTTCTTTGTGGATCAGGCTTACCTCACCCTTAACAAAAAAGTGGGTCAACTTTTCTCCGTTGTTCCTAACAGGTTATTCAAATATGCAGCATGTATTAGTTAACCTCATCAATTCAAAATAAGTGATTCACTGGAAATAAGGATGCCTTTAATTCAAAATGCAAATGTATACAACATTTCCCAGCTTCCCTAAAAATGGCAGCTTTATTATACAAGATTCTGGGACACTATTTGGAGAGTTTAGAGATGTGCTCCCTGATCTTGAAGAACTTCAATTCTTAAAGAAAACATAAAACCAAGAAACAGAAAATTCTTTTGGAAGGCTTAGCAGTATGTAAAAGAAAAAAAAATTATCACAAGGTCACAGTCAAATGATGAAAATATCTGCTGCCCATCTTTGTCAACGTGTAAACTTTGGAAATTCTGCATATATATGATTTAAAGCTGTGGTATTCAGGATTTTTCCTGTTGTGAAGGATGAGGGAACACAGGGAGACAGTGAGCAGAGAGGGGGTGGGAAGGGGAAGCAGAACATGTGGAGTTGGAACTCCACTTGCTCTTTAAGCAGAGCATGCTACTTTGTGTTGTTTTATATATTACCTGAGATTTCATTTCAAAAATGGTTTCTCAGCTTAAAAGTTTTCAAAGTTTGAAGACACACTGTGATGACCACAACAATGGCGGCTGCTGTTTATTGATTCTCTGCTGTGGTCTAGGCACTGGGCTAAGCATTCTGGATATTTCATTTAAGTAATCCCTAGAAGAACCACGGGAAGTAGGTCTTATTATTCCTACTTTACAGATGAAGAAACTGATGTTATGAAAGGATGAATAATCATTATATATGTGGTTATTAAGTAGCAGGGCCAGGAATCAAACTCAAATTTCTTTGCTCCAAAGTCCATCCTTTCTACCACCATGTTACGCTGAATGTGTGCTTAAGGCTCCACGTGCACAGATTCACAGGCATTTAACATGTACGCCAGCACTCCAAAACACACATACACATACACACAAGTACAACAAATGTACTAAAGTGTGTTGTTAGTAGAGCACACTGACTAAACATTGCTTTAGTAAAAAAGGTTTAAATGGCTTGAGAAACAAGCTTTGGTCACTAAGGATGGAGAGATATTTCAGACTGAGAGGACAGACTGTGCAAAGGCCCACTGCAAAGGTTTGTTGCTTTGGGTGGAAGCTGCAGATAGCGGGAAGCAACCTCTCCCCAGCCTCCCCATACTGCAAATCTTTTTGTGAAAGAATATTTTGAAACTTAAAAATAATAACAACGTCAAAGAAAGAAATACTGCTGGGATTTGACGGGGTGACATGGGCACCAAGGGGTCTATGGGAATGTCGTCAGCAACAGGACAGGTGTGCAGTAATTCTAGGGAAAACTACTGGCAAAAAGGAAGAGAACATATATACAAAAAGAAGGAGAGCCTGTCGCTGAGGCCAAATTCCGTGTGTTTGTCTGATTCTTTAAGTTGCAGTTTATTGCTGCTCTGTTTGTCTGAAGCTAGTTGGATGAACCTCCCGGACAGGAGAGAAGAACTGAGTGTTTTCCCCCCTTTACATGGTGACATTCTTCTAGGGTTTTTTTTTTTTTTTTTTGGAACCATTTCTCTGTTCCAGGAAGTTGTCAAAACATGTGATTTTTAATTTTAAAGAAAAACAGGACTGAAATGTGTCAAGTCCCTGGAAATAGTCTGAAACTCAATTGAGTTTATGCAGAAAAACACACACTAAAAATCACAAGACCATCTGGTCACAGAGATCTCAGTTTCTCTGACAACACCACTGGAACTGTGGGAGGGTAAGTCTTGTAATCACCAAATGGAAAATTAGTCAGGAGAACAAACAAGAACAGACAGGTTTCAAAACAATGTATCCTAGTTCCTGTTCCACTAAACTTCAAGGGGCATGTCATCTCCCAAGGGTAACCTTGGACTCAAGAAGAGACTCAGGGAAAACAGAGCAAGTCTGAGATGTTGAGTGCAAAGCAAATCATGTTTAAGATATACTAAGGGAGTGGTTATTTAAAGAGTACTCAAGGCAAAAGTACATATAAAGTAGTTATTCTTTGTCTCTGTTTTGTGTTTGTATTGCTATAAAATAGGAATATTACAGTAGTAGTTATAATTCTTCTGAATGTTCATTAATAGTTATTAATTTTGCCAGTGTTAAATTCTCTTGAGTATTTGAAGTATCTGATAGTCAAAACTGGATACAGACCAGAAAGGAATGAAAAGCAGGTAGAATCTACCCCAAGCTTATCTAACCCACATGCAGCCCAGGATGGCTTTGAATGTGGCCCAACACAAATTTGTAAACTTTCTTAAAACATTGTGAGGCTTTTTTGTGATTTTAAATTTTTTTTAGTTCAGCAGCTCTCTAGTGTATTTTATGCATGGCCCAAGACAATTCTTCTTCCAATGCGGCCCAGGACAGCCAAAAGATTGGACTCCCCTGATGTACACACTCCCTGGGAGATGGGCAGACTCATGTAGGAGCTTGTTTATAGGTGAGCAGGAAATGCTAGTGGTCTTAGCAGAACCTGTGGTCAAGCTGACAAGATTTCAAATGAAATTTTGGGCACTCTGCCCTATAAAAACGCGGTAAGCGCAGGTGGCGCATCAAGAATTCATCCGTAGGAAAAACCAAGAGAAGTTCACAAACTGTTTGTGAGTGCTGAAAAATCTGTGTATTTTGAGTCTTTTAGCTAATATTTATCTATTTTGAATAGATAAATATCCAGTGGCTAATCTGCTCAGCAGACACCCTTCCTGAAAGCCGTCTTTAGTGCCAGCATCATCCCAGTGTTCCATATTTGCCCATACCACTGCTTATGAAATATTTTTCCTTCTGTTTGGTTTTAGGTGGATTACTGATAAGTGTCATTTTGCACTTGGGGAAGGAATGAATGGAAGTGACGGGGGGAGGTAGGGTTGGCCACATCAGAAGAGGGTAGGAGGAGAAGTTGGACTGACCTCCAAGCCGAGTGAGAGATGAGGGCTGCGGTGTGCTGCAGGCACCATCTGCTTGGGTGCTATTCTCAGTAGGCGATGAAGAAGGAGGTGACTTACCTGAAATTTCTGGAAGTGTTGGCTTGTCTTCTTTCCAGAAGTTCCCATCACGAAGAGGAAGTCAGGGGTTAGCACAAATGGTACTCTCTCTTTATTAATGCCCAGGAAACTTTTGTAATTCCCAAGAATGTGCCCGAAGTCAATATGAAATAGGTTTCCTTAAGAGAACAAAGTATCTGACATCATTACAGTGGCATAGCACTTTGTTCCTTAAAATAGTTTTTGAGTTGCCTAAAAATGAGTTATCTTGAAAGCATTTTTTACAATGTTTTGTCAGCTTGTGGTATTTTTTGTCTTAGCAGGTGTGTGAAAGTCGTAGCCACAAAACATTCTTTGAACCAAGTATGTTTTTGATATCCTTCTTGTGTTCTTTAGATGACAGCCAGATGCCACTATAAAATTCTCATCTCAAAATTATTCTCAGAAACATAAACTTCTGGCCAGTCATCATTGTCTCTAAGACTCTCTTATGCTCTTTACGTAACTCAGGATAGACTGATGTTTCACTCTGCTTGGGGGCAGGGGTATTCGTCTTTTTCTTTTGAGTAGCCGTCTATGGCCATATCACCCTGAATGTACCTAAGCTTATCTGATCTCAGAAACTTGGGTAGCATGATAGAAGCAGAACACTGTGAGTCTCCTTTGCGTCAATTTCTACGCCTACAACTATCACCATCACAACTATCATCATCTTATTTGTTTGGCCCTTTATCATTTCTATTGTCCATAAATACAGTATCTCTTTTCATTCTCATAGGAAGAAAGCAGTCTGTTCCCATCTGATGCTTTTTCCAGACTCTACTGTTAAAATCGCCCAAATTCCTAGAGAAAAATCTCATGCTGTGGTGGCCACTACTGACTATTTTCAGAGTGGACAGTGAACCATGGAAGTGGAGTGGGTTAGGGAGATTTAAAGATATCTATGAGTTCTTTCTGTTGCTTCTGTGCAACATCTGTCACTGGTGATCCCTCCCAGCTTCTGGGATATGACCCTCTCCTAGTTTCCCAGCTGTCACTCTAATTTTGCCTTCTTAAGACTCATTTCCTGGCTCTTCTTCCCTCACTCATACCTCAGTCCTAAAGTGAGGTGGTCTCTCTAAAGCAGGGGTTCCCAACCACTGGGCCATGGACCAGTCCATGGCCTCTTAGGAACTGGGCTACACAGCAGGAATTGAGTGATGGGCAAGTGAGCAACTTCATCTGTATTTACAGATTCTCCCCATCGCTTGAATTACTGACTGAGCTGCACCTCCTGTCAGGTCAGTGGTGGCATTAGCTTCTCATAAGAACACGCACCCTTCTGTGAACTATGCATGAGAGGGACCTAGTTTGTATACCCCTTATGAGAATCTAATGCCTGATGATCTGAGGTGGAGTTGAGGTGGTGATGCCAGCGCTGGGGAGTGGCTGCAGATACAGATTAACATTAGCAGAGAGGTTTCACTGCACAGAGACCATAATAAATCAATTCCTTGCAGACTCATATTAAAATCTTCTCAGTGAGTGGCAAGTGACAATTGAGCTGCATCTGGTGGCAGGCTTTATAGTGGCAAGTGAGTTGAAAAAAAAGTGTGTAATAAAGGTAATGCTCTTGAATGATCCTGAAACTATCCTTGCTCCCCCACCCCTGTCTTGTGGAAAAGTTGTCTTCCAAGAAACTGGTCCCTGGTGCCAAAGAAATTGGGGGCCACTGTTCTAGAATAATTGAAGCACCAGTGTCTCTACACAACAAATTCTAAATATGTGCTCCAGTCTTAAACTCCATTTAAAGACTACTATGTTCTGAAAGGAGGTGGGGGATGGGGAGGTAACATTTAATGGGTACAGCGTTACAGCTGGGGAAGATGAAAAAATTCTGGGGATGAATGGGGATGATGGTTGTACAACAAGGTGAACATACTTAATATCACTGAACTGTAAGTATTAACTACAGTTAATTAACTGTAACTGTCAGTGGTTAATTGCAGCTAAAATAGTAAATGTTATGCTATGTATATTTTACCACAATAAAAATTTATTCTGCACTAAATAAACTCACCTGTCTCTGTGATCATAATATTGTCATTGTGTCTGTCACCTATTCCAAGAACAAAGGTGGCCACACAATAGCCTGCACAGGAATAAACAAATCTCTCCACCGCTGCCTGAAACTAATGAAAATGCATTTGAATATTAGTTGTCTTCTAACTACAAAAAGCAGCATGAATCTACAAATTACTTCTAATAAGAGACTATTCTGGAAACCATTTTCAGAGAGCAAGTTAGCTGTGTCTGATTTCATTAGCATCATATCTATAAATTGCCAACTTTCTCATTGCTCTGCTTATATTTTAGGTGAATATCCAGTGAATCACAATGGCATGAGGAACAAACAAGAGTCAAAGGGCAACAGTAATTTAATCAAAGGGTTCACTTCCTCTCCATGCATCACTTGCCAACAACTATACGGAATGCATGGTAATTTCGCTTCATTTGTGAACATGCTTTGCTTGTGACCACTGAGAGCATGCTTGGGTTCACAGATCCACATATATAACAGATTAATAAGTGCTACTCATTATATTTCCTCCCCAAAAGGCTGCTAACCATGCAAATGAGAAGTGCTAATCCTGTGCAGCAGAACTTTAAACGACAGCGAACAGCCTAACCACACAGCTTGTGAAGGATTGAGCATATGCACTTCCAAGGAATGGTGGAACTGACATTTTCAGCATCCATGATTTACCATTTAGATTAGAGTTCAGCAGTAAATTATAAATTACTTTGTTGGGCATGCTGTATTTCCCAGGTACATAAGAATTTATACATGGTAACTAAATCTTTTGGCTGAACAACAAAAATAGATAGCCATAAAAAGCACTAACGGATTATTTTACAGAACCAAGTTTTAAGCAAAGCATGCCTGATAATCAAAAGAGAAGCAAATGCTCATGGAGTCCTGAACTGAGTGCTGTCACCATGGGAGAGCACTTAAAACCTCCATTATTTCACAAATAAAAACTTCACTAATATGTCAGGAGGCAAGAGACTGGCAGATTCTTTGAAAACGTGAAACCAATATTGCTATATAAATGACAACTTGTAAGGAGCCATTAGACTGGGAAAAAGCATGAGCTCACCTTGTCTTCAGTAGGGGATTTTTCTTTGAGCCAGTGATTCAGGACTTCATCTTTAAACGCTCCCGTGTTGCCAACCGTGCTTTGCTGAATTTTGGCAATTGTCGTGGCGTCTTTCACAATCTCGATCATTCCTACAGAAAGATGCACTGAGTCTGATGGAGATTGGGGGCGAGTGCCTGGCCCAGAGGATAAAAGACTATGCTTTTGTTGAGTGAAGGGCAGAGGTATTTTTTTGACTAGAGAGCTATTTTCCAGGTCTATCCTGGTGGTTTTCTCATAAGGAACAGAAAGGAAAGGAGGAGGATATGGAAGTTGTGTGGGATATGCTTTCAATATCCCTGAATGACAAGAGGAAAGGGCTGGTTTTGAATAGCAATAAATAAAAGCATTTATGTGCTGAGCATATCCTTCCTCAGATGGCAATCTGTGCCTTTTCCTTTTTTAAATTACAGGGTCAAATGTAAATGGTTTTGTAGAGTTCTCAGATCAGAAACTTGAATAAACATATGTATGACTGAAACTAATTAAAAATACGTGATAGTAGTGTGTAATAGCTTTGATAATGTGAGTTCTGCAATAGTAAAATAAGTGACAGATCTTTCTATCTATTTTTAAATGTTATTTGTGAGAGAAAAGTTTAATGTGTAATGAAATGAGTTAAAGTTTAGAGGTGGAGATGGAAAGAGGAGGGAACAAGTTCTTACTAAAATCATTTCCATGTATAGTCACAAGGATTTGAATCATGCATTCATGTATTTTCAACAGATCCACATTAAATTGAGAGTCACAGTCATCAGCATAGAAGTGTTTTCTTCCTTTTCACATAGATTACAATTGTGATTTTTCAGTTAGTAAATGTCTACACTGAAGGAATTAAAATCTTTTCAAACTAGCTGAGTGGTCTATTCATCTCTTGAGGTAACTACATACCTATTTTGTCACCAGTTGAAATGCAACCATATGGCAGGAGGCACAGATCCAAAGATTCAGTCTCCCAAATGGACTCCATGATTCGCAGAATCTGGGCATCAAAACACAGAAATGTTTATATTATAAATATATATATATATATTAGCGTAATATATTTTCCTTTTCCCTTAAAAATAGCAATCATATTTAGTAACACAAAATATAAAAGTAAATGTAAAACATATAAGCAACAACTGTATATTTATTGGTCAAGCTGGCACTCTAAAGTTTTTCTTCTTTGTGAGCTTGTTAATTTTGGTTTCTGAAATGTACTTTGGGGAAAAGGATAAGTAAATTTCTTTTGGAGTAGGTTTTAGCTGTGGTTCATCACCTCTTTGTTCAAAATGATCTGCTCTAGTTGTGTCTATTTTAGCACAAAACTCTAACATCCTTACACGTATTTATCACTCAAAGGCAACAAGCAAAGCAGCAGTAACTACAATGATGATAATGATAGCGAATATATACTGAGTGCTGCTTTATGTGTGATCCTTGCATTGCCCTATAACTTAGACACGATTATTATTCCTATTCTATAGGTGAAGGAACAAAGCCTTGAAGAGCTTAAATAACTTGTCCGTAGCTGCCAAACTATGTGCCCCAACAAATAAACAAAGTAGGCTGGGCATGATGACTCACACCTAGAATCCCAGCAATTCTGGCAATTATCTGGCTCATACCTAGAATCCCAGCAATCTTGGCATTGTCATAGTGTCTTTCACAATCTTGATCATTCCTGTAGAAGGATGCAGAGTATAATGGAGATTGGGGGCCAGTGCCTGGCCCAGGGAAGGAAAGGCTATGTCTTTGATGAGTGAAGGACAAAGAGGTTTTTTTGATCGGAGACCTATTTTCCAGGTCCGTGCTGTTGGACTTCTTCCTCTTAGGAGGAAGAGAAAGAAAAGGAGAAGAATATGAAAGTTGTGTGGGAGGCTGAGGTGGGAGGATTGATTGAGTCCAGGAGTTCGAGACTAGCATGGGCAACATGGTAAGACCTCATCTCTACAAAAAATAAAATTTTCCAGGTATGGTAGTGCACACCTGTAGTCCTAGCTACTTCACAGGCTAAGTCAGGAGGATTGCTTGAGCTCAGGTGTTTGAGGCTGCAGTGAGCCATGATTGTGCCACCATACTCCAACCTGGGGAATAAAGCAAGACCTCATCTTTAAAAAATTTTAAAAGACTGGGCGCGGTAGCCCACACCTGTAATCTTAGCACTTTGCGAGGCTGAGGAGGGCGGATCATGAGGTCAGGAGATCGAGACCGTCCTGGCTAACATGGTGAAACCCCGTCTCTACTAAAAATACAAAAAATAAACTGGGTGTAGTGGCATGCACCTGTAGTCTCAGCTACTCAGGAGGCTGAGGTAGAAGAATCGCTTGAATCCGGGAGGTGGAGGTTGCAGTGAGCTGAGATTGAGCCACTGCACTCCAGCCTGGGCAACAGAGCGAGACTCTGTCTCAAACAAACAAACAAAAATACCACACACACAAAGTACATAAAGGGCAATGGCAAACTTTCACTCAAAATGAGAAGACCAACAATAAATTTTGAGTTTTTAAAGTATCTATCTTTGAACAATTCAAAATATTCTACATATTTATTTGAAATTTAATAAATTCGCAAAAAGTTTGATTTGATTTCTCTTTTTCTTTTCTAAAATACCTCCTGGACAATACATAGACCATTCCCGAAATGAAAGCAAAGCAAACGTATTCCTGTTTCTATATTAGAAATAAGTAAAAACAGAAGCTTAGAATTAGAAACATGACCAGTTTATAACAGGCTACCTTTAAATCAATGTGATTTGTCTACTTTAAAGAAACCATATTAAGTATTAGAAATTATTACATCTACAATACTGAACAACTAAAATCTGGAGAATATTACTTTACAAACTTGTGAAGCTAAAGTTTACCTAGAAATGTTGGAAAATATGAAATAATTAGTGCTGATGCATTCACCGTTCTCCTTCTGCCATAATAATACTTTACTCTTGTCACTAACCTGCAGGATTTCTGTGGTGACCTACTTGTTCACCTTTTCTGTCCTTCCCATCATATCATTCTCTTGATTTGTGTATGTATTATCAGGGGCTATGTATCTAAAAAGAGTGCCTAGAAATGCGCAGATATGTCTATGAACTAGAATGAAGTGAGTTCTGGGGATAAAAATGGCTATTTTCTATGTTATCAAGCTTAGAATGGGGTGTATAAAAAAGACATTAGGTGAGGCAGGTGAATCTGGCTACTTGGGAGTGTTGGATATGCATCTTGGACAGAAACATAATACTCATTAGACTGCATATCTAATAGTCTGCAGCCATGTTCCCCAAGTGAAAACTCTCTACTATGTAATATTTGATCATAACTCATCATATGAAAGAAAAGAGTGGGAATACAGCCAGTAGTAGAAGGCATGTTTTTGATGTAATACAGAATTGTGTTTTCAGATAATTGGACACAATCTTAAAACTAGCATACCTGTAAAATAAGCATGTCTTGGCGCAGATCATCACCATGCTTAAAGATAATTCCAATTGTTTCCTTTGATAGGGCTGTAGGATCAGCACATTTAAACTCAAGCCACAGTGGTTTTTTCTTGGAAGCCATTACTTTGCATTTTTCAATCTGTAAGGAAGCAGTCACATGTTCCCCCAACGCAATGAATAATGAATACACATGGTGGAGACACAAATTCTCTTGCAAAACATCACTATAAACAAGGACAAAGTCCTAGTTGGAAAATGATTTTCAATATTTGGGTAAAAATACAGAAGTTGTTTTCAACAAATCTGGAAATGCCATGTGAGAGCGAATTCATAACTCTTAAACCAGTGCCTCTCAAACTGTGCTCCGAAGAACCGCAAGAGTCTTTGGAGGTGCCTAAGAGGTATGGCAGATCTTACCCTCTCCAAGCACACAGAGCTCTGGCACTCCCACACTCTCTTTAATACACAGCAACCTGGCTACTATATTTGGCATCCTTCTGAGATTTAATTTGAAAAACTAACTCTAATGCTACCACAATGTCAAAAAACACTATTATTTCAGAATCAGATGCAATAGGCTACATCTAAGAAGATGAAATTTAATAGAAATAAATGGAAAATTTTGCATATAGGTACAAAGCACCCTCCCCCTAAACCTCATACATCTAAATAAATTCAAGGTAGGAGAAATGTGGCTTGGCAGTCACTCAAACATAAAAACAGTAGGTGTTTCAGGCAAAGTTCAGTTTACCACAGATTAAAATTGTGATGCAGTCTTTTAAAAAAGCAAACACAATTTGAAGCTGTATTAATATGTCATAATTCCTATCAATCCCTAAATAATGCACAGTGGATAGTGTGTGCTTTTGCTACAGGGCCAGTTTGCTGGTAATTGTACATAAAATCAAACATTCAGGGGAAGAACTTCCTCATCTTTTCATGTGGTTTAACTGCTACAGGAGTTGCTGCCCTGCCGTAAACAACTAGAAAACAATGCAAAAAATAGAAAACTCTTTTCAGACATTGAACAACAGGCAGGGTAGTTTCATGACCCCTGAGGAAAGGAAGACAAATGAAGTGAGCTCTGTAATTGCCCCAGATTACTGCCTGGGGGCTTTTTCTTGGCTACAGCACAGAGAAAGGAAATTCAGGCTGAGCCCACAGTCCAGCAGTCTAAATTACTGTAAATGAAGTCTCAGTGAGGAGAGAAAAGAGGAAACAAAAAAAATTGGCTGAAAAATTTCCAAATTTGAGAGACCATAAGCTCACAAATCCAAGGAGCTCCATAAACTCCAGCAGGCTAAACACAAAGGAAACCATACTAGGGTACATCATAATCAAATTGCTGAAAACCAGAAATAAAAGAGAATCTTAAAAACAGCCTGAGGAAAAAAAAAGGCATGTTATGCAGACAGAATCAAAGATAAGACTCATCATCAGAAAACATGCAAGCCAGAAAAAAAAAATGCTACTGCAAGAAAAAAAAAAAAAGTCAATCTAGAATTCCATATTCAGGGAAAATATTTTTCAAAAATGAAAGCAGAATAAAAAGTGTTTCAGATAAAAGCTGAAAGAATTTATTGTCAGCAAACTTGCAGTAGAAAAGATGTTAGAAGCTCAAGAAGATCTGGAACTATGTAAGGCAATAAAGAGTACCAAAAATGGTAAACATGCAGGCAAACAGTTAAAAATTATTTCATCTATTAAGTCTGTTAAGCCTATTTTTTAAAAATTGTTTAGGGCAAAAGTAATAATATATTGTGGTGTTTATATTATATGTAGAAGTTAAAATCATAATAAAAATAATGTGAAGGATGCAGGGGGTTAATGGAAGTATACTGTTACCCGTGTAATTAATTATAATAATTAATGTAAATAATTAATGTATATTAAGTACTTTGTTATTTAAACATAATCAAGAGTGTGTGGTATTGATGTAAGGACAGACATTTAGATCAGCGGAACAGAACAGAGAATCTAGGTGTACACCCACACGTATATGGTCAGTCGATACTTAACAAAGGTGCCAAAACAGTTCAACAGGAAAAAAAAAACCCAGTCTTTTCAACACATGGTGCTGAAAAATCTGGATATTAACATTAAAAAATGAACTCTTAACTTTCACCTCACACTGTATACAGAAATTAACTCAAATTGGATTGCAGACTTTAATGTGAGAATTAAAACCATAACCCTTCTAGGAAAAAAATATCTGCCACATTGAGTTAAACCAGAATTTCTTAACCTTGGCACTGTTTCCATTTTGGGGTGGCTAGTGTTTGTTCTGGGGGACTATCCTGTACCTTTCAGAGTAGTCAACAGCATCCCTGGCCTCTACCCACTAGATGCCAGTAGCATTCTCCCAGTTATAACCATCAAGAATGTCTCTATACATTGCCAAATGTCCCTTGGCAGACAGAGGGATCACTACAGGCTGAGGCACTGGATTAGACAGATTTCTTGTTTTTATTTGAAACAGGATCTTGCTCTGTAGCCCAGGTTGGAATGCAGTGGCAAAAACACAGCTCACTGCAGTATCAAACTCCTGAGCTCAACCGATCCTCCCACCTCAGCCTTCAAAGTAGCTGGGACTACGGCACGCCACCATGCCCAGCTAATTTTTAAATTTTTGTAGAAATGAAATCTTGCCATGTTGCCCAGTCTGGTCTCATACTCCTTGGCTGAAGTGATCCTCCTGCCTTGGCTTCCCAAAGTGCTGGAATTACAGGTGTGAGACACTGTGCTAGGCCTAGACAGATTTTTTAGATAAGACACTAAAAGCACAAACCATTAAAGAAAAAGTTGCAAATTGGACTTAATCAAAATTTAAACCTTCTGCTCTTTGAAAGACACTTCTAAGAAATTAAAAAGGCAAGCCACGGACTAAGAGAAAATATTTGTAAAATGTATACCTGATAAAGAGTTTGCATACAGCTTATATAAGTAACTCTCATAAATAAAAAGAAGAAGGCAGCCCACCTAAAAACTGGTGAAAGATTTGAACTAAAAAATTTCAGAAGAAGGTACTCTAATGGAAAATAAGCACATAGATAATCAACCTCATTATGGAAATGCAAATAAAAACAACAGTGATATACCACTTCATACTCATTTGAATGGCTAAGATTAAAAGGACTGATACCAACAAGTGCTTACTAGGATGTGGAACAACTAGAACTCATACACATTGCTGGTGGGAATTTAAATGTACAACTACTTTGGAAGAATGGCTTCTTGTAAAATTATACACATACACCATCTGACCCAACTATCCCACTGTTAAACATTTACTCAAAAATGAATGGAAAACAAACTGTGGTATATCCATATAAGGGACAACTACTCTGTCATAAAAAGAAATAAATTACTGATACATACAATAACATGGATGAATCTTAAAAGCATTACAGAAAGTAAAATAATTTAGATATAAAACTGTATACTGTATGATTCCTCTTACTGAAATTCTAGAAAAGGCATTTTATGATAGAAAGTAGATCTGTTGTATTAGTAGAGAGAATGAGAGAAGAAAAGGACTAATTGCAACGGGACATGACAGAACTTTTTCTATAACATTTCTATGGAAATAACTACATTTCACAAATGTAGTTATATAACTATACATTTGTGAAAACTCATTGAATTCTACATTTAAAATAGACAATTTTTATTGTGTTATAAGGAATATCTCAAGCTGATTTAAAATAATATGGAAGGGAAATTGTCTGGTATTGAGGCTTTTATAACCAGTGATCAGACAAGGGCTTAAGAGAAACCCATCCACAGACTCTACGGCTTCCCGATCTCTGCATGAACATTAGCTTTTAAGTATTGGACCCCAGCAAGCATGTTAGACATCTTCAAGACATAAAAGACCACATGGAGACATCCAAATGATACCTACTGCCAGTGCTCCTGCTTTCAGTCCAGGATCATATGGAACTCTAAAGCTTTTGGGGAGATGAGAATTCTGCAGGTTTTCAAGCTTTTGTTTAAGTTGTGCAATAACTGTAATTGTCAAAAGTAAACAAGAGTTATGTGAGTTCAAGAAATCATCAGTATTATCTATAACATTTTCTGAGAACACACTTATTCACAGCATTCTATATATTTGTTTTGGTGTGGAGCAGGAGAAAAATGGCTGGGTCCTGCCTTTGAGGAACTAATCACATGAACTGGCAAGATACATCAGGCTTACTGTGAGCAACATAACCATGTATACCTACTACAACAGGGGACAGAAATGTGTGAATATATGTGGGATAACACATAGACATTAACACAATCAAGTAGAGAAGAATGCTCTGAGGGTAATGTTAAGGAATTAACACTGTAGTTTTATTTCCAGAATGTGAAACTTTACCATCTGATTTGAGGAACAGACAGTTGAAGAAAATAATAAATGGAATTTGGTTAGGGTTCTGTAATTTCTTTCAAAAAAGGAACTTAGGTTCTGTAGAGAAGTAGAGAAGATGGATGTGACAATCTTAACATTCTAAAGGCAAACTACATGAATTAAAAATTGCTGGATAACCAACAGAATAAGGGTCCATACAAATGTTTTCCTTTCTTAAAATACAAATAAAATATTATTATTACCATTATCATTTTTAGGAGGAAGCATTGTAAGAATCAAAGGGAGAAAGGAGAAATTTTAAATATTCAGAAGTTTAAAATACTGACTGAGTACATGAAGTGTCTATATAATAAGCCATAGTGCTAGGTCTAGGTATAGAAAAATGAAAAAGAGATATCCTCTACATTCAAGGTTCATACAGTTTACCAGGCCAGTTAAGGACTTTAATTTAATGTAGTATCAATCAAAATCTATAGAAATACAGAGGGGTGACTAATTTTCCTAGGGCAGGGGCAGATTTTCTTATGGTATGTATAATATATTAGAAATCACTTGAGAGAGAAGACAGGGTCTGTGTGTGTGTTTATTACCTTTACACACACAGACACACACACACAATCGTCTCTTGGTCTCTGTAACGATTGGTTCCAGGACCTCCTGCAGATACCAAAATCCACGAATGCTCAAGCCCCTGATATAAAATGGTGTAGTATTTGCATATAACCTATGCACTTCCTCCCATATATTGTAAATCATCTCTATATACCTATAATATCTGATACAATGTAAATGCTATGTAAATAGTTATTATACTATACTGTTTAGGGAATAATGACAAGAAAAAAGTCTGTACATGTTCAATGCATATGTAATTTTTTTCCCAAATGTTTTCTATCTGTGCTTGGTTGAATTTAAAGATTTAGGACCACAGATAGGAAAGAATGAATGTATCTCTATATATTACTCGAGATATATACACAGAGAAATGCCAAAAATTTAAAATAGCCTCTCAACAATTCATCATTTTATAAGACTGAAAACTTGAAAACTATATGTGTATATTCAGAGATGTGAAGAAAAAGGTAAAGATTTGGAAATATCTAATCTTTGTGTATGCAATTGTTCTTAAAAATACATATTATATCTGCATGTTACTTAACTCTTCAGAGTTAAGAATATGTAAATATAAAGTTAAAAATTATGAACTTGTAAAACGAGAACTTTAATGTGCTTACTCTATGCAGACAGAAGACTACAAATTGTGTTCTTGGTGCCTTTGGAAGGATGCAACTTAGATTCCAGAAAAAAAAGAATTATAGGAACAATGGCATTTGGAGACGAAAGCATCTGGAAAGAGAACCAAGAAAACATAGCCACTGTACCTTGGGAACTGACGTCATATTTTTCAGCAGAGAGCGATTTAATATCAAGGGTGACTTTTTGTAACGTCTCAATTACTTGAACTTGTTGGGTAAAGTCATGAAGCATGGCTGTACCACAGCCCCTCAGGTAGGCTTCCAGGATCACGGCAAATCTCTGCTGATAGTGTCTGGACTGGGCTATCTCACTTCTCAAGAACCAAAACAAAAAGTGACCGATTCTTTTGTTCTGAGGGCAGGTACAAGAAAGTTGAAATTATTATGACTAATGCTTTAGGTCTAACCAGTCAATTCTTGGCAACTTAAAATTTCATGCTATTATCAAAATGGAAGTACTTACTCTTAAACCACGCTTCAGCAGAAATCTGGCAAGAGCACTATCATGGTATGGTTCAAATTTCACAGCCTAAAGGAAGAAAATATCGGCATTTGTAGGACTGTACTCTATGTTGTTGAATCAGGGAAAAGGAAATAGAGAAGAACTGGTACTCTGCTTTAGTGGGTCTTCATGGCTAGAAAGATGAAAATCTTAATAGTCACTTAAGTTTAATCCTCTCTTTTAGAAGACACTTAGGACCAGACTGAATCACTTGCTTAAGATCATAGAGCAGCCAATGACATAAGTGGGATTAGAGGCTGAAACTCTTGACTCACAGTCATGTGCTGTTGGTAAATTCAAAGGTGGAGAGGTGAGGGAATTTGCTCTAATTAGGTCTTACTGGTTTTGCTGGAAGGGTAGAGAGGAAAGATGGAGACACTGTAACAAATCTATAAAGTGGAAGGTAAGAGAGGATGTGAGAAAGAAAATAGACAGCAGAGATATAGTATAATACATGTAAGGAGAAAAATATTCATTAGATAGGAATATCCTAAAAGCCCTGTAGCTTCCATTTTTGGCATATCACTGGCAAGTTACTGTACTGTCTCATAGGTTTTAACTACAAGTAAACAGTGAGTGGGTCTAGGTCAATCCACACAGAGCAATCACTACCCCCTGCCACAATTTGGTGTGTACAGAGCTTCCTGTCCAAAAGTCCCTGATTTTATGTTTTCTTAAGTATAATTTGGTCTTCATTTTTAGTGTTTAGTCATTTTCATATCACTGGGCTGATGTTAGAGAATATTGACTTTGTACAGGTCCATTACTGAACAGGAAGAACCAATAAAATTGGTAAAAGCACAATTAAATATTTTGAGTGCATGGCTGTTTCATTGTTCTCTGTGCTTTTCTGAAGTTTGAAATAGTTCATAATTTCAAAAGCAGCAACACTAACAAATATTGTTCAGATTATTATAAAAGCATGTATAGAGGATAGATATCATATGTATACATGAAGAGAGACTTAATATTAAATATCTCAGAGTATGCCCTTTATGAATATAAATGGCATATCCTTTTTTCTTGAGGAATGGAAGAAATTCCTATTCTAGTTTATATTTTAGGAACGGGGGCTTCTTGGAAGGAGTTACAATTCCTCCTCTGGTGTTCCAGTTTGGAAATGATCAATAGTGACTTCATCATGTTTCAATTATACAAGTGTTTACAAAAATGCTTTTCAAAGGTACTGTCAAATAGGTGCCACTGTAGCTGCATCAAAGGGCTTAATTCTGAGAATGTGGTCATTTAGCCACCAGTACTCATTTTTGAAATGTTTTAAGTTTCTAACCCAGATGTGAGTCTTTCTGACCTTCTTCAGGTTTCACTTCTGTAAAGACAGTACAGATCTCAACTAGGAGACCATTTTAATCAGGAATGAGTCATATAGCCATAGCTGAAAATGTCTCAAGTAGTTTTACAAATGACTACTCTTCTTCAGATTTAAGACCACAAATTCAATGTTAATATTATTTATTGACCTTTTTCATTTAACACATTTCTAAAAAGAACATTATTCATTTTCCAGCTCTTTAAAGTTTACTTGTGAAAACTAATTCATGGTAGCCTTGGGATTTGCAATAGAGCTCATCCAAGTTTATGTTGTTTTTATTAAGGAGAGCTAGAAAATTGAAAATTCTTTAATTATTCTAAAATTGTTTAGTGTTATACCAATATCTAAACTAGTGAAACAAACTACTGAATATATTTAATGGATGAAAACAAAGCCAAATGTAATGTTTCAAGTATCTGACTAACAGGAAGGTGAAGATTCAGAGTTAAAGTTGAGGCTATCCGAAATGCTTATCAGAAAACTCCAGAACTTCCTAGAAATAATAGATAGTGATTAGACAGTTTAGTGTGTAAAATTTAGCCTGGTTAATTCTAAAGATCTCAGGCTAAACATCACTTCCTCAGAACCCTCCCTGGGTCCCTTAATCAAAATTATGTGTCCTTTGGATCCCTGGACTGTTTTCTCATAATCTGGTATAGTTTACCCTTAAGTATTTGTCCCAATTTGGTATTAAACATCTGTTTGTCTGTGTACTCATTTAATGCCAGTCTTCTCAGTACGTGTTGTTGAATTAATGAATAAATAGGTCTGTGCTCTAAAATAGCATTTCTATTCAAATTCATTTACTTCCTTTTCCTTGTCAAGCAGTACAATATAATTTGAGAACTGCTAAAGTGAGCAGGAGAACTGTTTCCCCTTCTTTCTTTAAATTCTTAGCTAAACCTTAGAAAAATCACTTGTCCTCTCAGGACCCCAAGGAATGTCATGAGAAACAGAGTAGAAATACATACAGTCCTATACCTGTCTGCAGAGAGGAGCTTTCAAGATTCTACCCAGACATGAGATGTTATTCTGTGAACTGCAATAAACATAGAGAGTAAGACCTTTTCTCTCTAGCCCCAGAATCCTGACACCGGACTGATGAAGGATATGGTGGTGGGTTTGTGAAAGGTTTGGGGCAGTGAAAAGAGCAGGATCTGGAGGCAGACCTCCTGGGTTTGAATTCTGGTCTGCCTCATTCAGAGTATGTGACCTGGGCACCTTACTTAGCCTCTTTGTAGCTCAGTTTCCTCATGTACAAAGTGCAAATATTAATTTGACTTCCATCATAGTTATTGGAAGAGTTAAATGAGACAATACTGAAAGCATGTCAGTCACTTGGAGTCACAAGGAAGCATTCAGTAAGTGGAATCTATCGTTAAAGTAATAAATGAGAACAAAGTATTCCCTCAGGGCCAATTCTCCTAAAAACGTGAAGTACTACTGTCTTCAAAACACTTGTCAGCAAACCCTCCAAGACAGTAAAAATGTGCATGGAACAGTTTACTACTTTTTGAGGCCGCTTCATCAGATCTACTTTGGCCGATGATGAAGCTCTGAACAAAGGGCGTTTGATGACAACTGAATGGGGTGCTTGTGCACATGCAAATAAATTCCTTTTGAGAAGGCTTCCATTGATAACAACACCAACACCCCCTACCTGGACCAGCTGTAGAAGGTAATGCAGAACATCATCGTCCTCCAGACTCTCCAGTTTCTGAACTGCAATGGCTCTTACATTTTCATCTGAGAAATTGCAGTCCAGGAGTTGCATTGTTAAGCCAACATCCAAAGCACTTTGATCCCAGACTTCCCTTCTGGCCAACAATTGGTATGTTTTGGCCACAATTTCTTGCTGTCCCCATTTCACTGAGCTAAATAGCTTAGGATATGCTTTTGGGTGCTTAAGGCTTTCATATCTAAAGTGCCAGAGCAATTCTTTGTCCTCTGCTGTGAGAGGGTTAAGTGGATCAGTGGCTATGATTGCCTCCAATTGCTTGCGAAGCTGGTTGGGCATTTCTGCTCGAACCCGGTCACCTTCCGGGTCAGGGGTGGGCTGATGCTTAGGCAGGGCTATTGGGTAGCAGTAATTATCCAGAAGAATGGAGATGGACATTGAGTTCTCCTTGTCTGGGTTGGTTGCAGATGTGAGTTTGTCAGCATTGAAGCTTCCTTGGTCTTCTCCCTTCCCGGATATCTGCCACATGTGGAGGACGTATTCTCCACGGCGCAGGAGGAACCGGTGGTCTATTAGCAGCAGGTTCACATAATAGAGAAGCTGAGCTTTGCCCTTGGACTCAGAACTGGGGGACTCCGCAGGGGCCTTGCTGGACAGTGCTGGAGCTTTGCCGCAGTAGATCTGGAGGTTCAGTAGAGCGCCTTTGGGCAAGTCTTTGATTTTGATACTGAACTCAAGCCACACATTCCAGAGCACCTCCTCTGTGAAGGGTTTGGGGCTGGTTCTCCTTTGGCAAAGCACTTGCTGTCCATGTTGGATGTTTGCCTCTACAAAAACCGTGAGGTCGGTGTTCCGCGGCAGGACCGGGATATCAATGCCTCTAATCTTCACCCTGAACTTGCGGTCACAGTCCCACAGGGACACAGTGAACACACTCTCATGGTCCTTGCCGTGGATGGTCAGCTGCTCATGGTAGCCGGTGACTCCCGTGCAGTCGTCCACCAGCGGCCACTCTTCCTTCCTCACCTCGTCTAGGGCCGGATCCGGAGGCGTGTCCAGCACCAGGTGAATCTCTTCTCCGTTCTTGAGGCAGTGCCTCACCCACTGGAAGTTTTTGATGGGCGTTTCGCCCACCAGGTACTCATCGCGGCCACAGACGCGCAGCACAAAATCCCGTTCGCTTTGGCTTTCGGGGATATCCATCAGATATTTCTTCTTGGCCATCTTGGTGAAGAAGCTCTGCAGGATGGTGCCGGGGGTGTCGTCGGCCGATACCTTGATGGTCTGGCTGGTGGTGCTGCGGTGAATGACGATGAAGATGCAGTTGTTGGCAATCTTCTTCCACAGGTACTCCGGGAGGGGCTTGGACGTCACCCAGGGGTGCATGGCGTAGAGCCTGGGGTCGCGGCTGGCCACCTCCGCCATGCGCGGGGTCACCAGGCCGCGGCGCGTGAACTCCAGCTCGTCGTCGTGCACGTTGCTGACGTCGGTGACGTCATAGCCAATCAGCGCGGTGAGCTGCCGCTGGAAGGCCTGCGACTCCTCGGAGGGCGCACGCCGCTGCACCAGGTGGATCTGGCCCGGGCTCCGGTGCATGGCCTTCCAGTAGCGCAGGCAGTCCAGAGTCTGCACCACCTGGTACTTGTCGTAGATCTCGTACCACTGCCCCTTCTTCTGGTAGAGCAGGAGGAAGTGGTCCGGGCCCAGCCGGTGGTAGAAGTCCGCCGCCACGCTGGTCTCCAGCGCGCGCAGCCACACCTGGGCCTTCATCTGCTCCACGTTGCCGTGGCCCGCCACGTGCAGCAGCGCGGTTTCGGGGCTCTTGCAGCTGCGCTGGCTGGTGGGCAGCACGAACTCGATGGGGATGAGCTCCATGGGGGACAGGCTGGCCGCAGCGCTGCGCGGCTTCATCCTCCGGCGCCTGCGGCGGTTGTCCTCTCTCAGCACCACAGGCTGTTCATAGTTCTCCAGCTCCATGCCCTAAGCGACCTGGGAGCGGAGGGACACAGGGATTTGTCACAAGAAAGGCATTTTCCCTTTAAGTTTTTCTGGCGAGATGAGAGGAAGAGGAGGTATAAGCGGCAGACGTGTGCACAGGGACCCAGAGAGACCAAGGATTTTAAGCTGAAAGCACTACAGCCTTTCAAAGCGTGGGCTTTGGAGTCGGGCGGTGAGTCTTGGCCCCAGCAATTACATTCTGGGTCACTTGGGGGCTGTTTAATATCTGAGCCTGTTTCTCATCTCTCAAAGGAGTCAGTAATGCCTCAGAGGGTGGAGGTGAGAGTTAAATAAAGTAATACTTGTTCAATATGGGTGACAGGTATATGGAGGCTTATTGATTATTCTACTTTTGTATACTTTGACAGTTTTAAAGAGGTGGGGAAAACACTCATCCAGCACAGCGTGTGACACGTTATAATGGCTCAGAATGGAAATTGTTCTTAAACATACTGAAACGTATAGATGACTAAAACAGTACAGTTAAGGATCAAGTCCAAGTTTACAAGGTGCATCATGAGATGCCAGAAAACCTCACTTTGAAAACAGGCCCTTAACTTACTTCCTCTTTGTTCAGTCTCACACTTCTTGGAACCCAGACACTTCACCCAACTTGCGTCACATTCCCTGTTCTCAAACTGCCAGGCCCAGGATCTACTCCCTAGTCAATTTCCTGTCCTAATTAGGAAAACAAGTCATTTCATTCATAAAGCTAAAAAATGTTGGAATTGATAAAATTACAGTCGAAACTGTTTGCAGATAGGTAAAATT